CGCATATAGCCAGCTCCAAAGGCATTGACCATGGCCTTCCATGCCCTACTTTCCATTATCTGCTTGGAGAGTTCCTATTCACACCACTCAGGCATTCCCTCTTTGCAGTGTTCCTTGATCTCCATGGAGAGGGCAGATCACTCTGACCCTCAAATCAGGCTGTGTAAACATCTCCTTTAGCAACTTGTCTTTTGGCCAGAAGCCCCAAACTAACATTCTAGAGGCTCATGGATTTTGTTTGCCCAATGCAGTGTTTTTAAAACACTATTTTTGGATGGGAGGACAGCATTTACAAAAATGAAAATTTCACACCAAAAAAAAAAAAAAAAGCCAATAATATATATAGCATTCTTGAAAAATGAAAGATGGGCAACACTAGGTCCAAATTCCCATATGGGAGCAACTGCCTAGAGCTAGCGAGGTGCTCCCTGTCTGATTGCACCCAAGCTCACCCCCTCGGGCTTTATTAGCATAGCTCCCGTGGACAAACACAAGGCTGTGAATTTACACGCCATGCTGAGCCGAGGCTTGGGCCCAATGGGCAGGAATTGTGATCGGTTTCCCTGGGCATCCTACCATCTAGTACAACGCTAAGCACACAGTAGGTGCTCGGGCTGTGTTCTGAGTTGAATTTCCCATGTTTCGCAGGGTCACCTTGCACAACCTTGTGCTCCCCTCACACGGCCTTTCTGTTTCCGAATGCAGGTATCCAGCCCCAAAACTCAGATTCGTATCCCTACCTTCATCCCTGCTGCCTGAGACGCCCACCCCAGCTGGTTACGGAATCCTTCACGTCTCTGCTCGAATGTCACTGTCTCTGGAAACCTTCCCCAGCCCTTCAGGTTAAATCAGATACCACTGTAATATCCTTCCAGAGCAGTCTACACTCTCCCTCACTGCCGTTGTGGGGTTGCTGGTATTTACTGGCTTGGCTGCTTCACATTGGCTTGCTCTACTCAACTCTAAGCCCCATGGGGGCAAGCCCAGCGTCCCGGCGCTCACTGTGGAATCCGCCACTCCTCCCTCAGTGGCCGGGCGCTCAGTAAACCTTCAAGGTGTGCGTGAATGAATGAATGAACAAACGCTTCTGGGAAATAGGCCTTAAGGAAAGTGGAGGCCAGTGGGAAGACCTGTGGGTGGCGGCTGTTTTCCATGGGGCGCTGTGGCAGTCATGTGTCACTTGAAACTTCCTAAACTGTCTTGAGTATAGACTTGTCTAGTCGGAGGCTGTGAGCACCCTGAGGGCAGGTGGCCCTTATTCATTTGTTGGATTATCTGCTTCTAATACAGGGACGGGCATCTACTACTCAATTCCAGAAATGTGTACTGAATGACCAAACTAATGAGCGTAGACTCTCTTTTTAATAAAGTGATGATAGTTTCTTTGCTTATTAACTTACTCATGCTGCTCTTTCATTACTTCAGGTTGGGCTGTGTTCCAGAGCCAAAGTGTATCAACAATGGCCACCACAAATGATCCAGACGGTGGCTGTGTGATGCCCTGTTAGTTCTGGTCATCAAGTTTCTGTGGTCCCTGGCCTATTTGCTAAGTTTCTGAAGCAATTTACAAGCATCGTTAACCTTACCATTTAAGGAACTTAACTTACCATTGAAGGAAGCATTGAAGGAACAATTGGAAAGTCTTATGATGATGACAGAACTTAAAGTGAAATCATTTTACAAGAGAAGGTACCTACTGGGTGTCCGTGGGATGTTTGACTCCAGATAAAGTTGGTTTTATCCAACAGGGAGAGTGCCTTATCCACAAAGGATCTAAAACTATAGATCATGGAAGATTCAGAGTTCACACACGCCTCCTCATCAATGAGCCAGGGCACATAACTAATTGACCATGGGCTCACTGGGACTAATTAGCAGCTGTATGTGAAGAGCTTGGTTCAGACTTGTAGCACAGAGGATGGCATTCGAGAATGGCCAGATACCGGACTCACAATTCAGTCACCGCAGGGGGATCGCTCTGCTTGGCTGGTGAAATGGTTGGGGCTCTTGGCTCCTCTGTGGGCCAGTGCGCACAGGTGCGCATCCATATGCTGCCGGCAGAGGGCAGCAGTACGCTGTGCGTGTGCGGTTTGCATCCCAGGTTGGCAAATCCCCAAGGATTTACAAAGAAAGAGAGTGGGTGTCCCAGGACTACCCAGATTTCTTTTCTCTGGGTGTCAACACTGGTCTGAGTAATTGCAAACACAGACCTTCTACATATGTTGGACTTTGGCTCATCTGAAATTCTGAAATGAATACACAACTAGAAGCTGCCATCACAGACAGGAAGTAACTTTAATTAAATATTGTGAAAGTTGAAAAGTTTTTACAGCTTGAATTTTTGCAAAAAAAAAAAAATTATAACAATCTCTACAGTAGTTAGGTTCTCTAACAATTGAACTGTACAGTGTGTGTCTATTCAAAAAGTTTGATAAGAAGGTGAAAGGTTAGTAGATTCAGAGATGACTTTGTTAAGCTGTGTCCTAGTACAATGTGAGGCCAGGGCATGTCAGGCGATCCAGTCATCCAGAAGCTGTATTTTTCCCCCAAAACTGAAATCTTAATTCTCTGTTTCATTTTCTTCTTAAAGCCATATTCTGTATTTAGGGGAACATCTTTTACTTGTAGAAGTTTTGTGTAGAAGAAAGAGGGTCAGAGGGCCAGAACGTCTTTTCATCTAATCAATATAAATAGAGGCGACAGAACACAAATTCTACATATTTTAAAGGCTCTTTGGACTTTTCAGAAAAGTTCTAACCACTCTGCATGGCTGACAGACGGGTGGCGTTTATTGTCAGGGTCTGAGCCGGACTCCTTGCCGGCTGACCATTCCTTCACAAACAGTTAAGGGGCTCACCAGACAAAATATGGCTTTAAATTGTATACATCTTCAGGCCAGCGCTTACCACACGAATTCAGACAACCTTTCTGAGTACCGAGAAGCAACGCGTCCACCTTGCTTACATTTTCCAGTTTTTTTTATTATTATTAATCATCATTATTATTATTTCTCACCTTGAAAAATCAGCCTTCCTCCCCTCCCTTCCCTCCCACAACTCCCCTCCCCACCCGCCCCAACCCATAAAAATCGCACTCTGACAGTCTAGTGAAAACCATTGCAAAATCCATATGGGGGCATGCACAGTTGCAGCATTGTTGTAAATTTCTTGCTCTACTAGAAAAAGTTACATTGTCTTAAGGTAACAAAACAGTTCTTTTGTGCTTTTCCATTTCTTTGTTTTTTTTTTTCTTTTTTCTTTTTCTTTTTTCTTAGAATGTGAGTGATGATTGACAGTTCTGGTGCACAGTTACAATGTACAAGTGAAATGAATATGTTTTGCATTGTTAAGGCATCCAATCTGCTGGTTTATATTTATGTGAAAGACAGAGGAAATATACAAGCAGACTTAAGAAAGAAAGTATGTTCATTGATTTCTATGAAGTTTCTCCCCCAAATTTAATGCACAAAATGCGTCACTCCAAAGGGGGAGATTCCATGCATATTAATAGGGTATTTTTTTTTTTGTAAGCTTCCAAAGCAAAGGATACATTTTTTTTTAATCTACAGAACTAAATGCTACAAGAATAATATGCTACTATTTTTTTTGCCATATATTGGAAAAAACTTCTTAACTTACAAATAATACAAAAATAAACAATGGCTTTTGGGTGGAAATAAAAAAAAACTGAAGCATGGTTTAAAACAAAACTAAAAATAACTATAAATGAAATGTTTAAAAATCACATTGAAACAGCTAATACAACTGTAGGTGACCAAACAAATACGCACTTTTCACATAGCAAACATACACAATAAAATAAACTGGGAGTGGGAGGAAAAGGAAGAAGGGGAAAGCAATGTACAAATTCCAAAGATAAATACATTATTTATATGGATATTTTACAAAATCCCCTTTAAAACAAAAAGCCTTTTAATTAACTTTGCAAGTATGTGCAAGCTAAAGGTAATGAGCTTTTTTTTTCTTTGCAAAATATGCAGTAAAATCTTTTTGTGATATTGAAAAACTGTCTTAAGACATTAAAATGTATAAATAGAACAAGGACTTTGGCAAAAATCACAAAAAATCTACAGTATTTATAACTACATACAAAAACACAACAGCAAAGGAAAAAATATCAGGCAAATGCATCCTCAGAGCTTTGCTGCTTCTTTGCTATTTATTCTTACTTTTAAGAACACTTCCCAGATAGTGAGAGCAAAAAATTCCATAGAACAGAAAACTACATGTCGGAGCTCTCAACCTTCTTCTCCTTTCTCCCAGTTTTCCTTTTACTCTTAATTCCAAAGCACTTAACCTGTAGCTCTAGTCTATTATGTTACAAACGGTAAGGGTCACCAATAGAGGCGCGTTATCTCAAACAGGAAATCTGAGCCTCCTGCCATGTTGCTTTTGTCAGCTTTTGGAGGATTGGTATGAAGTCAGCATTTAGGATGAGTACACGCTACAACTTGCAAATGGTGGCGTGAATGTGGGATTTTGGCTTGGTAACTGGAGGGCAGAATGTGGAACTCTGTGCCTGGACCCTGTTCCATGAAGTCTCCTAGGAGATTCACAACACAGTAGGTGTGCCATCAAGCTCTCAAGAGGCCACTGGCTTCAGAAGAAGTTGACACAAGTGAAAGAGAGAATGATATCGGGTTTAAATATGCAGTTTTAACAATCTGTCTAGAGGCACTGGATTTTGGAGTAGAAGGGGAAAATGTGATCACTTACATCACTTTTTAACTTTCCAGGCTGCATTTATTTACACAGTTACTTAAGACAACAATACAAAAGAGATAAATAAGCTTGCACTGCTAAGGGATGGCATGTTAAGTTAGATATTGAAAATGCACTGTCTGAGCTAACTACCATTTGATATGCTTTAAGGCGCAAAAGCCGACCCTTAGTTTTCTAAAAAATCTAACTGGCATTCCTATTCTGTCCCATACAAGCTTTTTTTTTTTTTTTCCTTTTTTTCCTTTTTTTTCTTTTTTGACTTTTTTGTAAATATCACCACTTCATTCTCCCTTTACACAGCTTTAAAAACATCATAAATTAAAACATGGAGTCTTATTTATAGTGTCCCTTGTATACAGCTTTACGGTTTATAAAAGACAAATGATTGCAGAGTTAAGCTTAAAAAAAAAAAGAAAGAGAAAGAAAAAGTGGATTTGCTTTTATCAACACAGAATAAATATATCCCCCCAATACTTGGGAGGTACAATTTTTAACCAACACTCTGCACTTGCAGATCCCTTCCAACTTCAGTATTTGCAAGGTCGGTGATATTGTTTGTTTAAAAATCTGCAGTTACTGTGATTCCTCTTAAAAAGGCCTGAGTTAAAAGTTCCACTCGGGGACTTGTATCAGATTACTCTCTGTAGCAGAATCCAACCTCTTCATTAATAAAATTCTTCAAGGCAATGCTTTCACATGGGAGGAACAATCATGCCAGATATCGCTGTGGAAAGAGAAGACAAAAGTCAATGGTTTTGCATCCAAACTTCTCACTGAGGGGGGAAAAAAAAAGATGGGAAAAAACACCCACACACCACTATGTTGCTTGACTATTAGTCACAAATGGGCTCTCATCTCCCCTGGAGTGAGTTTTTGTTATAAAACGTACATGTACTTTATTAAGAATGCTAATCTATCAGTCTGTGTGTGTGTCTTGAACAGAACAGAAGAGGCTAAACAGCCTCCAAGTCTGATTTCAATTTTGAAACGTAACTGGAAAGTTGCATAGTTTGAATACCGCTGGGAAAGTTGCAGCCCCAAACCTTGCAGAATAGTGAGAATTTTCAATTTGTCGCTCTTTTTTTCCCCCTCCCCTTCACTTCCAGCATATAAAGTTGAAAAAAAAAAAAAAAGAAAGAAAAGAAAAAAGAAATGAAACCGGTTCATCCCAACTGCCAGCGAGTTCTACAGAAAAAAAACCCATGGCTCGGTGTTTGTGTGTGCCCGAAGTCGGGGTACTGGGGCAGCAAAGCTGAATGCCTTCATTTCAGTCGTCATGCCCGGGAGACGCAAGGGCCGGCCACCGCAGACCTTATTTCGAAGGGGGCAAATGAAGCTGGGAGAAAGTATGGAGGAGGAGGGGAAGGCAGGTTTGCATGGAACTGCAGGGTGTCCCCTATACTACGGCTTCACTCAAGATTCTAGAATGGTCTGACCACGTTCCTAGAAAATTACAGCCTAGGAAAGCTGGGGTAAGATCCTGGGGTAATCAAGAAATCTTTCAAAGTGTCCCGAGTTCGGAGGCCGCACGCAGTGGTATTTAGAAAAGCAGGGAATCTGATAGGCCAGCCTTCTACCTCCGGCTTTCCTGCTTTCTGAATAGGCTGCCCCCCCTTCCCCAGCCCCTCACCCCCCCTAGGTAGTTACTTGTTTCTTTGAGCCTCTGCCTCCTCAGCTAGAAAATGCCGTTCAGGATGTTTGTAAGAGCAGTGACATTTTTAGGGTTGTTGGGAGAGTTAAATAAAATAACCTATGTGAAGTGCTTGGCCCAGAGTCAGTTCCCAGTAAAGACCTCCTAGAGGTTAGCTGCTGTTACGTTTAATCCATCCCTTCTGCTGTTAAACTAGCTGTGTGACCTCAGGGTAGTGGTTTGACGTCTCTGGGCTGTGTTTCCTCTCTATCAAATAGGCATCACCTCCCACAGCATACTTCACATAATGAGCATGAGGAATGGAGGGATGTCTGTGAGAAAGTTAAGACGGTTTGGCATTTGAATTATATGGAGGGAAGAGCCATGCGTCCGTTAATAGCAAGAGGCAGCCATCTTTGCTTCCAAAGAGGAGAGAGAAAGTCTGTGCTTTCTCCTCATTGTTAATTCTAAATTTAAACTGATGTTCTTGTCAGTGATGACTGACACTAGGAAGTGGCCCTCTTCGTGTCCCAACTCTCATGTCCGGAAGAATGTGCCTGTTTTTAAGCAAACCCCAATTATCACAAACCTGTTGCCCATAGAGAGGCTAGGTGAGGCCCTGAGCCCCACAGCCTCTGGTTTCCCCTCCCCCACCCCCAAAATTTTAAATTCAATTAAAAAAATGTATTTGGCCAAACACTTTTTCCGTTAATTTTTAAACCCATCTGTATTCACAGGGAAATTTAATCCACATGTTTCTGATTCATGTACACGTAAATCATCCAAATGTTGTTTTGCAAGAGCCGTTTTGCAGTCCAAAAGCTCCTGGAGTCTTTTTCGTAAGCCCTCATAAGCCATTTTTCTTAGAAACAGGAAGTGTCTCTTGCCAAATGCAGACCAACCTAAACCCCCAAAGATTTGGGATCAGTTGGAAAAGCAGTCCCCCTAAGATTCAAGTGAGCCCTAGATCTGACTAAAACGAGGAGCTCAGACTTTTAACCCAAGCCTTAACAGGAGAATTCAAGATGCTGCAGCCCCAGAGGCAAGGGGGTTGAGTGGGGCGGGGGGGAAGGGTTCTCTGCACAGTGACAGCTCCGCATGGCTCTGCCTCCCTAAGATCTTTCATCTAGGCCGGAGGTGGGTCAGGGCACCCTTATGGAAGACAGGCCTTTTTGCGGGAGTTCTAAAGCTCTGGCAAGAGAACCAAGTCCTAGTTTTGCCCTCCACCCAAACCCACTTCATGAGTGTGGCATTAAAGGCAACCCCCATGGTCCAGCCAGGCAGCTCAGGCTGCATCCGCAGGATGCAAAACGGAGAACTGACAAACTTCCTGCTAATTTGGTCAGTGGGACAGGCCAACATTTATTAATTGGGCCCTGAAAACATCAGGTTTTTTTGTTTTTTTTTAAATTCTGGATGGCCAGGAAAAAAAAAAAAAATCTAGCAGTGTATTGTACCTGAATCATGTGCTTGATTAATTAGATTAAACCTCCACTTGGGCCCCATTAAAAGTTATAAAGCAAAGCTAACTGATGTGCTAGTCCATAGCTAACAGCACTTCTTAATCTGGAATACAGGGGTCACAAATTCCAATGCCCCTAGAGCGTGGAATGGGAACGTAAGTGAGCAAAGTGCACCAATAGGGATGGAGGGGCCTCTGCCAAGGGCATGGCAAGCCTCCTCTGGAGGGGGCTCCTCCAGAGCCGCTGTGCAGAAATGCCCACTCACAACCACCAGCTCTTCTGAATTCTTGCAGGAGAAGATGGAGAGGTGAATTTTTTAAAATACAAAAGAGCCCAGTTTATACATCCTAGCAAATGATTAAAATTAAAAACGAGCCGACAGACATAACTGGGAGTACCCGGGGGGTAGTTTTGGTCTGCTCACACTTTCCTACCTTGGCTTTGTTGGCCCTCAGACTTCTCTTAGAGTCTAATGGAAACCATGGGATCTCATTTGTACCTACACCCCAAACTCCACATATTATCGGGGTCACAGCTCCTTAAGTCTCATCTGTGACTTCCTAAACTCTAGACGCAGAACACTTAGTGATAAATAAATTTTAGGAAAAGAATTCTGTTTGCAGTTGCTGAGTTGCTCTACCTCTAAAGAGGCCTTTTTATAAAGTAATCGCCCTGCATGATTGCAGGGAAGCTCCTGGGTTTTTAGGAGCTGTTTTTCTTGTATCTGTGCTGCAATCCTCAAGATTACTTATGTGGGTGAGAGGGATGGGTGTCTGGGGCTTGGAATGTTCCAGAAATGCTGCTGGCACACTGACTTGCCCAAGTGGGGGCCATGAAGATTTCCATGAGGACACAACACTCTCAAAGAGCAACACATGCCAAACATCACAAGACATCATAAGACCGAGGTGGCTCCGCCATTTTCCCAGGCAGCTGGGGGATTACGTTCTCTGACAGGAGGTCAGAAAACTATTGGTTCAAAAGGCCATGCATTTGGCATTATGGTTTTCACATTTTGATAAGAACAAAGACAAAATGAAAAGTTTTGCAGAGCTGGGAGAGTTTGGAATGAGAGGGTGGAATGTGGTCTTCCTCAAACCACCATATGTGTAAGAACTATGAGCTAATCGGGAACAGAATGGGGCGGGGGTGGGAGGAGAGATCTTGCACAAATTGAGCATGTGCACAGAGAAAAGACAATTCCACGAGATCGCCGCTGGACTACATGATATCAAGAGTCGGGTGGAGTCAGCCAGCCTGAGCTTCAACAAGGTGAGAAAACAAACAAACAAACAAACAAAATAGTGTGTGGGTACAGTTTCTGTGAAATCACTCTGGTCTTTTGTTTTTAATTTTTCATTGCAGGGACTGTCCAGGACATGGTTAGGGTTTAAAATCACTACACTGTGGGGAAGTCCAATGGCATGCTGACAGCCTCCTTGGGGCTGCTTCTCTCTTGATTAATGAAGTCCTCTGAGGCCTGAAATTGCATAGAATCCATGCTCTAGGGGGCATAAGCCTTTGGAGAAGGGGGAGGACATCTCCAGGACAATGGCTGGGCAGAGTGGGTCACTCAAGTCTTTGACCTATGAAAATAGACACACCTGGGGAGTCAGCATCAGGGTTTATTAATGACTTTACCTAGGTGGGAATGGAAGAAGATGTCTCTGCATTTTCTTTTTAAATCCAAAATATGGCCACATTTTTGAAAGTTCTTCATAGGATGTTAATTGGTCTTAACATTCAGAAAAGGGTTCTCTGGGTGAATAAATTAAGAGAACTCAATGGAATACTCATTTTTTTGTTTAACTGCAGGATGTCTGTCTCAGAGCTTTTAATAAAAAAAAATTTCTCAGCCATGTGGTAATTTGTGCAAGGTTTTGGGAGAGAAAGCCGATTGGGACCACAGGAGAAATTGTGAATTATAATACACCTGGAAAGAATGGAATTTATGACTTCCACATAAGGACCTCCTCACTGAACTTCATCCCCGCTCCTTGGCCTCCATGCCCCAGGATGCCAAATGGCTTGCTGGTTACTGCACATTACTCTGTGGCTCCCATCATCTTCAATCCTCTGCTTCAAACGCCCTCTCTCCCCATCTCTCTGTGCCTGAATCCCCCTTGCCCTTCATCTGAGGTCCAGCTCGATGGCAACCTTCTCCATAAGGCTGTTCTGAGTTCTCCCTGAACTTTCCCTCCTCTGAACTTCCACAGGTGGGTGCCCAGCCTCTCCCAGACAGATCTGTTTGCTTTACTGTGGTGCTGTGTTTCCTTTAACACAGCAAAGATTTGAAGGCCAGGATTTTGAAGTCCACCAGGGCCTGACCCAGTGACTTCACGACAGTATGACCATAGAGCACAGGGGCTTACACTGTATCAGTCCGCCGGGTTTTAACCCCAGGCTCTCCCAGTTTGCTAGCTGTGTAACCCTGGGTGAGCCACCTTAGCTCGAAGGCTCAGTATCTGCATCTATAGAATGGGGACAGCAAGCAGCCTACATTAAGGGTGGTTGGGAATGAGATGATGCAGAAGCCTGGCTGGGAACAAGCCCTCCTATGTGAGTAGCTGTGACCACTGTCATCACCACCATGTGAGACTGCAATGGGGTGTTCGTTGGGGAATAAACGTA